TCCCTGCTCGGCGGGAAGCCTGCTTCTCCCTCTCCCACTCCCCCTGCTTGTGTTCCCTCTCTTGCTGTGTCTCTCTCTGCCAAATAAATAAATAAAATCTTAAAAAAAAAAAAAAAGATACATTGAGATTTTAGGACAGCCCTATAAAGGCATCTAAAACTTACTGAGGTTAAAATGCAGTTTACAGAACAGTACACATGGTATGATCTCACTTACATTAAGTATCTATTTATATAGGCATATTTATGTTATGTAGAGTTACAATAAATAGAGATTGCTACATTTTTAGATGTTTACTCAAATTTGGAGGGATATACACAGACTTACCCTGGAGAGCAAAGTAGGATTGTTACTTTGGAAAACAATCGTATTATCAGGGGACAAAAACAGAACCATTTTTATTAAAACAAAAACAATAACATTCCAGTGGCAACCAGGAGACGAGCTCCCATCTTGGGCCCAGAGTGACACTGGACAAAGTTCTCCCCAAAGTAGTTCTCTACTTCCTCTCTCTCTCTCTCTCTCCTATTTTGTGGGTTGTATGTGCACACAGTAAATAATTCAAATTGTGTAGAAGGGTAAATAATAAAATCAGTCTCCTTCCAACCTTTGACCCTTAGCTTCCCCCACACCCTCTCCAGAGGCAACCACTCTAGCCAGGCTCTTGTGTCCCTGCCAGACACAGTCGATGTATTTACAAGTGGACATGGGTGGATGTCACCACCTGAAACACACATACACACACACTCACGCGAGTCACACTGGAATACAGCCCCAGCCCTGCCTTCAGAGGAGGGATGATTATCAAAGAGGGACGTGCACCCTAACATTTGCCTGATGTCATGATATTCCCCAATATTCCACCCAAAAGGCAGTGGTATATGACACAAATTTTCTTTTAAATAGCTTGAGAATTCCCAGGACTGGGAATTTCGGGCCTGAAAAATCAGCCTGTAAATTTAGGTGTAGGCTGACTCTGAAGTTCAGGATCTCTTCATAAAAGATTCCTGCTAACACATTCATCTTCTGGAAAACTCCCTTTTATCACAGCTGCTCCCGAGCTTAACATTCAGCGGTTCCCTATTAACCATAGGATAAAGCTCCAACTCCAAGCTAACGCCCAAGGCCCCAGTGGCCCTCTGCCCTGGCCCTTCCCCCACAGGCCCAGCCCACCCCGGCCCCCCTATTCTTCCCGCATTCATAACCCCCTCCCCTGCCTTGGGCTTCCCACCTTCTCTGCTCCTGGATTTCGGTCATTGTAAAATCTCGGACCCGGAAGGCCATTCATTCAATAAGCATTCACTGGGCGCCCACTGTATGCCAGGTCCTGGGCCAGCTGCCCAGGAACAGGTGACTTGATCACACGGGAGTGCCCCTCGCAGCTTTTTGGGCCAGGCTGCTACTTGGGTGCTTCCCTAACTGGGCGGTCAGGCAGCTCACTGCAATAACAGGCTGTCAGTTTTTCAGAAGATCCTGCTGCTATTGCTGGGCTCCTACTTATGTGTGGAGCATCTCTTGACGGGTGGAGTCCAGAACTAAACAGACTCCTTTGTTCTGGGGTCTCTGTTTCTGGTAATGCAGCTGAAGTCTGAGTGAGCCTCCTCAGAGCCATCCACCACACTGCAGACCTATTCTGAGCATACAGCCCACAAAATCCCTGGATCTTTATCCTAAGCACTCTGGCCAAGTCAGGTCTTGGGCAAGCCTACACTCGTGTAGCTACATTTTTTTGAACAGCAAGCCTTACATCAAAACTTGCAATCTTAGATCCTGCACCTCTTGCCCACGAATTCACAATCATTGCCAAGTTGCTGTGCCTGTTCCTTGAATGTGTCCAATGTAGTTCTAACGGAAGGGGACAAGACTGAAGACAGAGCCCTAGGGCACACCACTAGAGACTTCCCTCTGGCTAACTTGGCCTTCCTACCCATGTGCTCTTGGGCCCTGACACATACTGGGGGTCCGTGTCAGCTCTAGGGCTGCTCATGCTTACAACACCCAGCCCAGCCCACCCATCCTTCCAGATCCAACCCAGAAAGGTTGGAGAATGTGACCCGGATGACCTGGTAAGGTAGCTCATTGGTCATCCTCCCTAGGCTTGCCAACTGAAAGTGTGAATGACGGTGTTAGAGAAAACTTACATAAGAAAATAGAACAGTCAAAAAAAATTTTTTTTAATGGAAAAAAAAAAACAACAACCCAGAATGAATGTCCAAGCAGCCATAGAATGTGGCCACCAATGTCATCATGGTGGGGTTTCACGATGAGTACCCAATTTCAAAGCCTTTCTGCCCAAGCACTCATTTCATCACTGAACAAACCCACACTGAACACTGTGTTTCAAGCACAGGGTCAGCCTGGGGGTTGGGGATGAATGAGAGCCAGTCCCTGTCTTGGGGAGCTCACAGTCTGATGAAGGAGGCAAACTCAGGAACAAAATGGGCAGTTCTGGGTTACACACAGGCACACACAGGGTGCTGTGGTCTAACCCTAACTGGGGCTACCAGGGAGGGCTTCTTGGAGGAGGTGGTGTCTGAGCTGAGAAACAAAGGCCGAGCAGTCAAGAGAAGGCAGAAGATGGGGCTGAGGTAATGGGAAGAGCAGGGATTCCAGACAAACAGGGCACGTGTGCAAAGGCCTGGGGCCCCTGAGAAAGGCAGACGGGAGGTCGAAGATTCACCACAGCTCCAAAGGAGTATGAGCAGGGGCCAGGTCAAGGAAAGGACCCGAGGAGCCTCAGGGCTGTGGACGCCACATTATCACTGACCTGGATGGAAGGAACACACGTCATGAGGCCCAGCTGATACAGGTGCAAGCTGCTGTCCTCTAACCACAGGGGATGAGGGATGGAGGGGGTCAGGACTAACCCTTGGGGCCTGGGCACACAGCCGTGGCCACCTCCCAGACAAGGCAAGCCAGGCGGCTTGAACACCAAGCGGGGAGCCGGGAAGGGGAAATCAATGGCAACCCCTGCGGCCTGGGGGTGAAGGGAGCAAGCAGATGTGGTGGGTCAGATGTGTGGACAGTCTTCTCCCAAAGACTGCCCAGACATCCCGAGGAGCAGACCCCCTGGTGAATGCAGAGATTTTTTTCCTGGTGATGAAATAAGCGGTGACATTTAACGTAAGGGCCTGCTGAGGACAGCGCAGGAAGAAGTCATTTCCCGGCAAAGGGAAGATGAGGCTGGCATTTTGGCCCATTCAGGAAGGTTAGTCCCTGCACAGGGAGCCGGCTGGCTGGGGCTGAGGCTCAGGCCTCCCCTGAGGGAGCTCAAAGCCCACATGGGGGTCTTTTTTAGCACCCGGTACAGCCTGTCCCCTGCTCGGTATGGATGTGCCAGGCAGCCGGTGGGTGGGGGTGACCTTCAGGGCTTCCTTCCTTCCCTCACCCCTGCACACACATACGCAGAACCTGGTACAGAGATGTGCTGGCCTGGGGACACCTGGGGATCCCCACCTCTGGGCCCCTGGCTAAAGGCCCTGTCCCATGCATGCCTCTCCCTCTCACCAGTGCCCCCTCATGGCACCTGCGACCCTGAATTCCTCCCACTGCTCACTCCTGCCAGCTCCCAGCCCAAGGCCTCACGAGAAGGCTGTTTGCGGGGCCTGACTCTCCCGGAATGGACTCTGCTCGTGGAGACTGGCAGGTGGACCTGGGGAGGGGGGGGGGGCTCGGGGCACGCGGACCCGGAGGCGGGGGTGCACTCACTCTCTTTGGTCGGCAGGGTGTTCTTCTCCTGCGTCTCCGTTTTCTTCAGCTTGGCCTTATCGAAGCTGGCGATTTCCCCCATGTCCGGCTTGTCTGCCATTTTCTTAAAGCGATCCTAGAGGGCAAAGCAAGGCGGTTGGCCTGCGGCCGGGGCCAGCGTCCCCTCCGCCTCTCCGCCGACGCCTCTCGACGTGGCACTCGGCCGGGGCGTTCCCGGTCCCCGCAGGCCGAGGATCTGGGCGCGTCCCGCACCCACCCACCCCCCCCAGCCCCAGGGCGTGGTCCATCGGCCGGGCGTCCCGTCGGGGAAGGGCGCCTGTTGCGGCCGCCGCGCGCCGGCCAGGTTCACCAGCTCCGACTCCACCCGGATGGGGCCCCCGCCCTAGGCAGCGCTCACCGTGGAGTTCCGCTCCGAGCCGGCGCCTGGTGCTCCCACTCGCGTTGCTGCAGCAAGAGACAAAAGAAGGGCGCCCGCCCCTCGTCTTATATACGCCGCGCCCCGCCCCGCCCCTCGCCCGCCGCAGCGGGGGCGGTGCTGGAAGACGATGGGCGGGGGCGGGGGCGGCGCGGGCCCCTTGCTTCCCCGCCGCGCCCTCCGCTGGGCTGCCTCGCGGGCTGGGCGCGGCTCTTCCTGTCCCGGTGGGGGGTGGGCGGGAGACCCAGCTCCCTGCGCCCCAGCTCGCCTAGCTTCGCGGTGGAGGCTGTGGGCGCTGCCGGGTGGGCGCCGGGCCCTAGCTTTCCGTTTGGGGCTGCGCTCCCCTCCCCGGGAATCTGCTGCTCCGCTCCAGATTGGGCGTGGGGGCCGGCGGGGGAGGGGTGTGTGGCGTGTATGTGTAGTATGCAGTTGTAGGTGTGGATGGATGTGCGGCCTTGCACGCGTGCTCTGCAGTAATCCCTGCTCGCAAGAGACCCCCCCCCCGACCTCCCAACTCCCCTTTTCCTCTTCTCGGGGAGGCTGAGCCCTTGCGTCGTCTCGCACTAAAAGAATCCTAGCCGAGGGTTCCTAGTGATGAAGGGACAGGGGAAACAGGTTTCCACTGCTCTTTGCTCAGATTGGGGCTGGTTGCCCTCTCTCGTCTGCCTTGCTGAGCGGGGCGGCTCTTGCGGGAGCGGTGGCGGGTCATCTTGAATGCTGGTTACAAGCATTGTCTGAAGGGCGGTAAACAGTCGGAGAGGGCTCTCTCTAGTCCTTCTCTCACCAGGGCTCTAGGAACACTGTGTCCAAGGGTGTGGTTTTCCTCCTTGAAGTTAACCTTGAAAATATCCCTGCAAACGTTCTTATTTTCCTTATTAACCCATTATAGGAGTGGTGTAATGCGATTGTTCAAATCTTTCTTAGAAAAGTTGTATTTTCAGTTGTATTATCTAAAGATGTTTAGATAGTAAGTTCCATAAATTAACAACCCCAGGGGGTGAAGCTGGTCTTTGTTTTATTTGTCCCGAACTTTCCTTTTTTAAGTGTCTGGGGGTATTATTAGCAAGCTCTGTTAAAGTGGGATTTGGTGGAAACATCCTAAATCCTGTCCCCGCCGCCCTGATTTTATCTGCTTTCCTCACATTCCCTCAGTGTGTTTGGAACAGAAGGAAGAGTATTTAGGCGTATGAATGTGATATACCAAACTCCTTGTGTGGCCTTGGGCAAGTCTTTTCCTACACCTCGGTTTCTTCATCTTTAAAATAGCTTTAGCATAAAGCTTAAGTGAGGTAATAGAAAAGGCACCAAAATGGCAGCCCCATGAGACTGCCATACTCACACTTCATTAGTGTATCAGTCAACTATCTCCATAATATGCCGTGTAACAAACTACCCCAAAACTCAGTGGCTTAAAATAATAATCATTTATTTTTGCTCATTCATCTGCTGGTCAGTCAGCTGCTGCTGGGTTGGGCTAGGCCGGGCTGGGTTCCAAGCTGCCAGTTGGATCTCATCCTCTGGACCAGTATCTAGCTGATGCTTATTCTTCCCAAGGTGATGGCAGAACAGGAAGAGGGTGTAGCACAGAAGAGTGTAAGAGTGATGAAGTGTGTGTAAAAGCATATTATGTCAGCTCATGTCTATGAACATCCCATTGGCCAAACCCACTGTTAACGGAGTGGAGAAGTATATTCCACCCGTGGTGGGGGAGGGAGGGGAATGAATATTTCGTGACTAAAAATCCAACTTCACAGGCAGGGAAGGCAAACAGCTGTAGCAAACAGCCCCCAAAGTGGCTTAAAGCAATAAGAATTTATTTCCCATTCATGCAGCAACACTACATGCTGGTGTTTCTGGTCAGGCAGCTTACCTCCATGTAGTGACTCAGGTACCCCGGCTTCTCTCTTGTCACTCTGTCCTCCTCTGGGTCCTGGAAGTTTACTCCATTCAGCCAGTGGATAGGAAAAGAGGAAAAAATACAGGACTGCATTAGAGTTTTTATGGACCAGTCTTAAAAGTAGTCTCCATTATTTCTGCTCTCATCTCTTTGGCCAGGACTTAGTCTCATGGTCTTATCTATCTGTGAGGGAGGCTGGGAGTGTAGTCAAGCTGCGCACCCAGGAGAAAAAGAAAGCAGGCTTGGATGGACTTGGAGCATTCTCTGCGATACACTGTTGAAGGATCTGTCAAACTTGAGCTTGAAATTTCCAGACATCCTGAGACATCGACTTTTTGGAAGGTCTCACTGCCACTTAATTCCTTTTCAGATGCAATGCCAAGCATTATTTAGGTGTTACCTTACAGGGCCCCACCTTTGGCCTGAGCATTTGTCCCAGTTTGGACCTCTGGTGAACTCCAATTCCAACTTTTATTTTGGGAACAAAGGAATCTATTTCTTCTAGAGACAGCTATAATACACGTTTCAAACGCCTTTCTTGAGTATAGATTGTCCTGTGTGACTTTCTTTTAGTGAATGAAATATGGCAGAAGTGATGCTTTTCAGTTTATGAGGTTAGGACATAAAAGGCCCCAGGGCTCTGCCTGACTCTCTCAGGATGCCTTTGCACTCTGAGAAAACCAAGCACCTACAAGGAAAGGCTACTTGTAGGCATTCCAGCTACAGTCTCAGCTGAGGTCTGAGCCAACAGCTAGCATCAACCAGTAAGCAGGCAAACAGGTGAGCCTTGAACTGCCCTGGCTAGTTGTCGCTGGCCAAATTACAGGTCGGTGAGCAAAATAAATTTGTAGTTGTTTTAAATCACTAAGTTTGGGGATGTTTTGTTCTGCAGCAGCACCATGAGATGGAAAAGTCATAACTTACTGGTGTCAGGGTCTCAGGTCCCATTTGGGGATTTTTCCTAAATATCTTCTGCAATACCCACACATGTACTTATTCAGTAAACATTTATCAGATATCCATGAAGTATCTGGCAGTGTCCTCTGGATGTGGAAGACGTAAAGATGATGAGACTCTTGAGTTACAAGTCTAGTGTGGTAAATGAATTACTCTGAGTCAATCAACAAGCTCATGCTCATACCTTGCATTTACTTATGACTTGGGTGTCATTTATGTCTGACAACATTTCAGCCTGCTGCTTGGAACAGATTGTATACTGTTAACAGATGGTGTTGAGAGAGCTGAACCACTCAACTCCAATTACATTTCCATTTTCTTTGTTGAGAAGGATGCTTTGGAAAATGTCGAGCTAATAAGAGGAAGCTAATGGACTCTTGATGACTGTCAACTGCAGGGTAGGGAGGTGGGGGAGGGCGTTGGTGTGGGGGAAGCCTTTAGAGATTTGCCGTGGGGCAACATTCCTCAGGCCTGTTCAATTTGACATTTTTTTTTTAATTGGGGATTTGAATGGGGATGTAGATAGAATGCTAATTATATTAGGAAGGATGTAACTGTAAATGCTAGGGCAAGCTGGATCCTGTGGAGATATGGAGAAAATATGATGAGACTAGACCTGATAGGGACAGATGTGGGGCCTTCTTGATCTGACCAGAAACCCTACAGGTACAGACAGATGTGATGAACCTGATTACCTCTTAAGAGGAGGTGAATTTTGTGGCTGTGTGAGTAAGAGGAAAGAGTTTTCGGTCCGAGTTTCCCCTGACTGTAAGGAAGACATTCACTCTGCTTCAGAGTTTTTGCCCTTGTTGAAATGCTCATGTGAGATGTTCTTCTTAGTCTAGATATTCAGATTGTGCACCTTCTTATTTCATTTAGAAAGTTGCTTAAGTGTCCTCTCCTCAGAGAACCTTCCTTGACCACCCATATCGAGTAATTCCCCTGTTATTCTCTTGACTTTTACCTTGTTTCATCTTTCTTCATAGAATTCATCTCTACCAAATGTGTTATATATTCCTTTATTTGTTTATTGTCTCTCACCCCACACTAGGAAATGGAAGAGCTCAATCTGTCTGGTTTACCACTGCATCCCCAGCACCAAATGCAATGCATGACACCGTAAGTGCTCAATCAATATTCTTTGAACAATACAAAAAATTCTTTTGTTTTAAATATTTATTTATTTGGGGGCGCCTGGGTGGCTCAGTCGTTAAGCGTCTGCCTTCGGCTCAGGTCATGATCCCAGGGTCCTGGGATCGAGTCCAACATCGGGTTCCCTCCTCGGCGGGAAGCCTGCTCTCCCTCTCCCACTCCCGGGGCTTGTGTTCCTGTTCTCGCTATCTCTGTCTCTGTCAAATAAATAAATAAAATCTTAAAAAAAAAAAAGAATGCATGTAAA